TGCTGAATAAGCCAGGTCCACAGTGGCTCATACCTGTAATCCCAGCACTTTGGGAGGCTGAGGCGGGCAGATCATTTGCGGCCAGGAGGTGGAGACCAGCCAATGTGGGGAAATCTCGTATCTACTAAAAATACAAAACTTAGCTGGGTGTGATTGCACACTCCAGCTACTCTGGAGGCTGAGGCAGGAGAATCACTTGAACCCAGGAGACAGAGGTCGCAATGAGCTGAGATTGTGACACTGCACTCCTGCCTGGGTGACAGAGGGGGACTCTGTCTCAAAAAAAAAACAAAAAACAAACAAAAAAAGATTATCTGAGAGTATCTGAATCAGGAACTGAGGCCATAGGTAATCTCAGAAAGTATCCTGGAGGAAGGAAAATGGGAGGAAAAGAACATTGTGTGAAGGACTTAAGGGAGGTGACTCAAGGAAAGTGGGGAGGCAAATGTATCCAGATAAGATTGGCCCCATTGGTCCGGGGTTGATATGGCAGGGGCGAGGAGGGGTCCTGGAGGGAGAGATCCTGGGGGTAGCAGCAGATGCTACAGGGTCTTGGAAACCATAGCAGGCAATAAAGAAGACACGTGGGCTTCCCTCCACCTCATGGGCAAGGACCTTCATTTATTCATTCTTTCCTACACTTGACAAATTATTACTGAGATCTTGTTAGGTGGTGGGTGCTGAATATTCAGGAATGAGCACCATAGGCCTGATTCCTGCCCTCCTAGAGATCACAGCCCAATGGGAGAGACTGACATTAACCATATTAACATGTTACAGTTGGGCCAAGTCTACAAAGGATAGTGTATGACAACGGGTGTGATAGGTGGTTCCCGAGGGAGAAGTTTCCCTAGGGAGTGACAGTCACCCAGAGTCCTGATGGGTGGGGGTCTTCTGTGCCAGCTCCCTGCCAGCTTTCATCCTGGACATCCCTGCATTCCTCTGCACTGTCCCTTTAAGAGGAGCATCTCTTCCCTGAGCAAAGGAGGTTCGGGCACACAGCCTGAGCCTGCCAAGGTTGTGGGCTATAAATCAACGCTGGCACTCCCTTGGCAGTGGGCTCTCCTCTGAGCTGCCCAGATGGCGGGCAAGCCTGGGGCTCCAGGGGCAGCCAGGCACTCAGGAGGGGGGAGGTGTGCAAGGTGGGGACACAGCTGGGCCCTAGGCCCCTCATGGCAGCTGCCCACCTCTGTCTAAGGGCCCTGGACCAGGGAAAATGCCAAAGTCCTTCTATTCTAGTCCCAGGGACCTTCTGACTCCCAAGTTAGGCTGGCATGGGGCTGTGGGGTTATTGTCCCCACCCCAGCCAAGGACCAGGGCCTCATAGGCATCCTCTGAGACCAAGGGTCATGGATGACCTCTTGGGGTCACAGTCTGCTCCAGTATTCAACCTGAAAGTTCTGCCTGTGGTTTGACTTTCTTTCCTCTTGCTGTAGCTAAGGTGTCTTCTTTTACACTGCATGAAAGAGGAAAGACAGTAGCTCCCCATTTAGTGGGGCTTTGGGACTGTGGTGAGCTCTCCTTCTGCCTTCATTTTAAGCCTCCCAGAAAAGCAGGATACAAAGATTCTTCAAGGTCAGCTGGAGAAGTAGAACTCTGCCCTCTTGGGGGTTGCCATCCCTCTGCCACCCTCACAGGTGTTGTGACAGAGGGAACATATGTTGCTTCCACCCCAGAGAAGAGAGACAACATCTTAGCAGCCACAGCCCCACAGAGCCAGGCTCAGCAGGCCTTGACAGAACTGGAAAGGCAGCCTCTCTCCTGGGCCTGGCCTGGAACTGGGCTGTGGGTGGAGGGGTGGAAGCAAAGTGTGTAGACCCCTCCCAGAAAGGAATCAACAGGCTTGACTGCTCTCCCCACCCTCACCCCCCAACAGTAGAATAGTGTAGACCTGTGGAAAATTCATGGGTTCTAGAACAACAGAGATTTCCTGGGATGTCCTTGTCCTCAGATTCTCTGTGAGAAGTCAGAGCTTACAAGTCCTTAGAGATTCTTTCTCACACACTCATCGTACTGATGAGAAAACTGAGACACAGACAAGTTCACCCACGTCTTGTTCACGTTGTTTTTACTGCACCATATTTGCCACCTGAACAGAAACTCCCAGAGCTACCGCTAAGCAGATATATTAGGCTCTAAAGGTAGTAGCATAGATGAAGGTTAGATAACAAATAGAACTTTCTCAGAATAGTAGGTCACAGAAGAAGATGAGAAGCCAAGTAAAGAAAGTGCATTCTCTAAAACAGTGGGGTGGGGGTGGGGAGGGATGGAGCCAAAGAATCAGGTTAGAATTTCGCAAAAAAATATGGAGAACACAGGAGAGGGAGTTGTCAGAGAGCCCAGAGCAAGGGCAACTGGGGTGTGGAGCTTCTGGGGTTCTTCCTTCAGGACTCCCAGAATTCATCTATTCCGGGCTTCTGGGTATCGACAGTAGTTTAAATTCAGGCCTTATTTAGGCTGATTCTCTTGGCTTTCTCCTTGTTCTCCCGGGATGGCTTATCCGGTTGCCAGAGTCATTTGCCATCTCTAATTTGTGTTTAAATTAAAGTTCCCACAAACAGAGGCTTAATGTGGTGTTACCAAGAACTCCCGGGCCCCCTGCAGCTCTGGGAAGTTGAGGGGGCTGCAGAGAGAAGAAGTCAGTCTGTGTGCAACCCATCGAGGCCGCTCCCGCTGGCACTGGACCTGGAGTGGATGGCCCAGCTAAGTGTCTCCATCCTTATTGCTCCGTCCAGAATGGTGATAGCAGGGGGCCGGGCAGGGCAAAGCATGCTCACAAAGGGCCTGGGATCCACATGCCTGTTCAGGGCTCCTGGGTGGCCGTCACCCTTTTTCGGGATGATGAGGAGAAGGCAGAGGAGGTGGGCAATGAGACGAGGGCAGGGGTGGAAAATGAGAGAGGAGGAGGCTCCATTTTTTAATACTTGTGTATAGCGCTCACTGTGTGCCAGCCCTGTTCCTGGGCACCTCATAATTACAAATTCAACCTTCTCCACAACCTGCAAGGCAGGTGTTCTTATCATTAGCCCCATTTTTATAGACCGGGAAACAGAGGCACAGGGAGTTGGGGAAACAGAGGTATGCCCAAGGTCACACAGCTAATGAGAGCCAGATCTGAGGAGTCAAGCCAGTGCCATTTCGCTCCAGATTCCCAGTGCTATGCTGGTACTTAAGCCAAGATTTATCTGTCACCCTCCCAATCCGCTGATCGCAAGGTGAGGCTTCTCTTGGCCAGAGCAACTGAGACAGAGTGAAGCTCCCATCCTGCTCCCCGGATCTTTACCTCTCTGGGCCACAATCTTCCATCTGTAAAATGATACTAAGATAGTCGGAGGGGTTGAGGGTCTCAGCTTGGCAGTGACCAGCACAGAGTGGGTCCCAGCAGTGGCTGCTTCCTCCCCTGTGGTCCAACCATGAGCCTTCCTGCACTGCCTCTTAATTCTGCATTCAAAGGAGCTAGTGGCAGTGATCCTCATCCCTTAATGAAAACCCTCAGAAGAGGGTTGTCCCTCTTCATTTGTCCAAATTCTCTCTCTCCCTCTGGGAAACCCTGAAAAGGAGGAATAATAAAGCTGACCTGGAGTCCGGACCTGCTCCGTCCCCACCTCCTCTGCAGCCAGGTGAGCCAGTCAGGGCAGCAACAGAGAGCAAATGACACATTTGAAAGCATTTCACCAAAGGGTTTAATGATGTGACAATTTCTAAAGGCATAGACTAGATGAAGAAACCTAATAAGAGGAGTGTGGCACCAGGATAGAAATAGCACTACCAAATGGGCAGCACTGCCGACGCCAGCTGGGCTCACGGGACACAGGAGAGAGGCCGCTCAGCAGAGCTGTGGCCATGGAGGAAACACAACCACCACCAGAACTTCCGGCAGGCAAAGAGGGAGGCTGGCAGGGAATGGGGGAAACAAACACCCTGACTCTTCTCTCCCCCTTCCCTGCCAGGACCTCTGTTGGCCAAAAGATCGGGGGTCCAGGTGACACAGTCTGCAGAGGTCAGCCTCTCTGGGCATAGCAGCACAGAGAACACAGAGGGCAAACAGAAAACCATTCCATCTCATCCCATCCCACCCATGAGTCCCTGTTCCGACACCAAAGCCTTCTCTCTGCTGCTTTTTGCTGCCCTTTTTTCTCCCACCCCCGCCATTTTTTTTTTTTTTTTTTTTTTTTTTTTTTTTTTTTTCTTTGTTTTTTTTTTTTTTTTTTTTTTTTTTTTTTGCGCAGGTTGGAGTGCAATGGTGAAATCTTGGCTCACCACAAACTCCGCCTCCCAGGTTCAAGCGGTTCTCCTCCCTCAGCCTCCGGAGTAGCTGGGATTACAGGCACGTGACACCATGCCCAGCTAATTTTGTATTTTTAGTAGAGACCAGGTTTCTCCATGTTGGTCAGGCTGGTCTCCAACTCCCAACCCCAGGTGATCCACCAGCCTCAGCCTTCCAAAGTGCTGGGATTACAGGTGTGAGCCACCACATCCAGCTCTCTGCTACTTTTACTGCCACCTCTGTCACTGCCTACAGCCAAACAGTAACTGACAGGGAACGAGAGTCAAGACTCCTTCAATACAAATGGTCCAGCTCATAAGGAAGGTGGGATCCAGGCAGAGGACAGCTTGAGGGAAGAGAGCTGTGTCTGAAGGGCAGCTGGCCAGGGGCTGCTCACTCCCAGCATGGAGGGACAAAGAGAAGGGCCGCACTGGGGGGTGAGGATGTCAAATGGTGATAGTAAATGACTCTCTTTCCTCGGCAGATGATACAAATCAGTGTGGATCTTCCTTCCACTGCCCCTCTCTAGAGCATGAGCCCCTGTGGAGCAGGGATTTTGTCTTGGTTCATCCTCGACATGTAGCACAGTGCCTCTTAGGGCATAATCAGAATTTATTGAATAAATAAACAAATAGATAGGTAAACGAATGAACAAACCCATTTGCAGCTCATGTGCACAGCCCTGGGCCCTGGTCAAGGAGCATTGTTGAATGAATGACACGCAGTACTCCTGCAGAAATTTTATTTCAACCAATTCAATCATCTACCATCTCAGATTTCCTTGCAGCCACTCAGCCATGGGCCACACAGCCCACGTTTGTCTCCATGCTGGCCAGAGGCTACGCTTTGATAGCACCCACTCAAATGTGCAGTGACTTCATCCTCCTGATGGAGGAATAAGGAAAGTAGTAAGTGACTTCATTTCTCACTGCAGCCTTCCTGTGTGCTCTTTCTCAGGAGAAATCTTGATCCATGGCAAACCGTCTGTGGAATTCCCGGCTGCAGCCCTTGGCAAGAGATGGGAGGAGAGAATGACAGTGCCAAGGAGGCAGCTGAAGGATCGTCACCCTGGGAGCCACAGCCCTGGGTTGCTTTTTCCAATAGGCCGTTAAGTCTGAGGGAGTCAGGTGGAAGGGGGGGAGGCACCAGACAAATAAACTAGAGTCTCAAGTGCAGTCATCATGTGCCCACCTGGTGAAGTGGTTATACACAGACGCCGGGGCTGGGCTCACAATCCCTGCTCTACCACCTGCTGGCTGCACAACCTTGGGCAAGATATTTGATTACTATGCCTCAGTTTCCTCTTCTTAAAAATGTGAATAACAGGCCAGGTGCGGTGGCTCATGACTATAATCCCAGCTCTTTGGGAGGATGAGGCGGGCGGATCACGAGGTCAGGAGATCGAGACTATCCTGGCCAACATGGTGAAACTCTGTCTCTACTAAAAATACAAAAATCAGCTGGGCATGGTAGAGGGCACCTGTAGTCTCAGCTACTTGGGAGGCTGAGGCAGGAGAATTGCTTAAACCCAGGAGGCAGAGGTTGCAGTGAGCCGAGATTGCACCACTGCACTCCAGCTTGGCAACAGAACAAGA